CCCCAAAACCCCAAAACCCCAAAACCCCAAAACCCCATATATAATAATATTCATTGAAAAAATAATTGAAAAATGAAGATTTCTTCAGAAGAAGCTTATTCATTCCTTAAAAGATCAGTTGAACTTAATCTTGACAGTGACATCTTCAAAAATGGACATTTGAAGGCCCTCACTTCACTGACGAAAAAGAAGGGCAAAAGGTAAATAATCTATAGTCCTGGTTTGAGATAATTTAGAAGCCATAAAACAAGCAGACAAGAGAGTTATAGACTCAAAGTATTTCAAAATCTAGCTAAAATGGTTTGATTTATCTCCACAATGACCGGCCAGAAGCGGTTTGAAAATATCTGATTTGCTCTTGACTGGTACAAGAACAAGGTAAATCTTGGAACCTTGGGGCTCGTGTTAACTTAGTCTCTAGATTAACCCAATACTGGGCGAGGACCAACAAAAAATTGAACTGGTAGTCGATAGTGATGAGATGTACCAAATAAAAGGTAAACCTAAAGCTTCCCCGGAGTTTCAGATAATAATTCTGCTTTAGACGAATGCCAAAAATTCGTCACAGCAGTGCCTAATATCATGTCAAAGGTAAAACACAAAGACCAAATCATGGTGAAGAAAGTGAACAGTAATAAACTACTGAATCGTGTTGAGAGAGGCCATACCAGAAGTATGGATGTTATTCCTCCTCTTCACAGGAGTAATAAGTCCTACGAAAAGATTATGTACACTAATGCAGATCTAAAGTCTCTCAGATATGGCTTCCAAGACGGAAAATTATCATTAAGTAAGATTCTTCGGGAATAACCTCATGAACGATTTAGGGAATTTTGAAAAATTATGTGGGCAGGCAAGACCATTGGCAAAAGAATCTCCATACAGAGTCAAGATCAAGAGGAATGCAAGATCTATTATTACTCAGGTAAAGAGGTGATGCCAAGTTATAGAAATCTCCTTTGCAAAATACTAAGAAGATAAGTACTTGTAGGATTACAAACTCCATTAATAAGAGGTAAACCTTAACTTTTTACTTATTTTGAATATCTGTTGTGATTCATAAAATCTGCCTTCAAATTTATATACATATTTTCAAAAATGAGTACCAAAACTTTCAATGCAGCTCCTACTAAGATATCAATAAAATTACTTGCAGCTGTCTAATTTTGTATTAGCTCTTCTACCCATCTCTCTGAGTGAATGAGTGCAAGGATGAGAGACAAGGATTCAGAACAGTTCTTCATGAAACTCAAAAACACATTCTTGCAGAAAATTATAAATAACGAGAATGATAATAGTTCAAAGGTATTCTTTTCATCTTAACAATATTAGGCATCCATTTCTAATTTTGTTAAAACCGCAAGGCCAGTGAAAGGGAACTTGTATACCAGAATCAAGGACAATCAGGGCTCTGTCAGAAATATGAAATTAAGTAGGAACTAATGGATTAAAATACAGCTAAAGGAAGAAGCCCTGCCTTTAAGATACATCCAAAGCAATCACCTAACCTTTCACAGAAGCAGCTTACCACGGTTAAGTTGATTGGCCAGAACAACCAGAGAGGTTTGGTTGCAATTTTATACTCTAGAGATTAGAACAATTCCGAAAGCTAAAGTTAAAACATTGCTTAACTCTGAACCTAAGAAACAGATACAGAATGATATGGATTTTTCAAATCAGTCGGATCTTCATAATTTAGAGACTTCTCCTCGCTTTGGGCTTTACAAGGGATCTGAGAAGTACCTCTTTGATCTATTTAAGAAATATTCTGATTTCAAGGATCAGCCTGCCAATATTGAACTCAAGAATGATTCAACACCTAAGGCTTGGTGAGAGGAAGATAATACACCTGTTACATTTAAACTTACTCAGAACTCAACACAATATGTGCCTTCTTATATCTCTAAATTTAACAAGAAAATCCCGGATTCAGACTGCACTCATTACCAAACTCCTACTATGTTCTCAGAGAGCCCAGACAAGATACAGTCTAATGTTGACTTTAGCATAAAAATCAGGCATTGCAAAATTGGTGAGGACTCTATTGGATCAGCACATTATATAAAGTGCGATAAAAATTAGGCATAAATCTTACTTAAAATTTCTTAAATGCAAACCCCTCTGATCTAGAAGATAGCAAATTTTACAACAAAGCTTTATAAAGCTGATCTTTTTGCCTAAGCACCCTTTATGCCGGTGCTATAGAACTCTGAAATAATTATGGGATAAATATATCCCAATTTCAATAAGCTTGTAGCAAAATGGGGTTTTGGGGTTTTGGGGTTTTGGGGTTTTGGGG